TCATTAAAATTCCAATTCTAATAATCGTGGAACACGATTCGTCGTGGTTTAACCCGATACTCCGAATATTCGATTATATTCGTTTCGATTATCGCTCGTAAGAATCGTCAGCGACCTTAAATCATGTCAGCGAGCAATATCGATTGATAGCAACGCGATACGCGGCTGTTTATCATTCTCACTGTCGAATTCATTGTTCCTAGTGAGAATATTTATTCGTCATTTTGATTTGATGATTTGACTCGATGAATGACGAAATTTATCTACGTGCCTAGTGTGTAGGGAAGAGATGAGAAACAAATATCATTTGTCGATTTCTCTTAATTAGTGTGTTTGACAAATAGATGATATAGGCCGAGTTAAACGTTTCCGTAAACAGTTGGGCACGCGTGTTGCGCGTGACTGTAATTGCCGATAAAAATAATTGACTGCATTCGTCATCGTATTTAAACGTGGTCTCGTGCTCGCTCTTCGATATTACGTAGTATTACGTGGCAAGAGATAGGCTAATTTTTCAATTTTTCATAAATTATTTGAGTAAAATATTAGTATTTATCATTTCTAATTAAACATATTTTAATAGATTAATAAGATAATCAATCTATTAATGTTTTCTGCATTCGAAGAAGTACATCCGATGATTGCTGCTGTCATCTGCCGATGAAATGTTCAGATATTGCACTTTGAATTGTTTCTTTACTTATTATTTTAGTAATAATATTTGTGAGCTAATTATTGATGCATCTATTTAGGTGAATATTAATTTTCGTCGTTATCTTTGATGGTATATTTATTTTATTTTATTATAAATAATATTACCAACAATGATTGGTATTAACAACTTGAAAAATGATTTTTATGACTGTAATATTCCTTTGTTTCTTAAAGAAAATGTATATAATAAATTAAAAATTGTTTAATTAAATATAAATAATATCATTATAAATTTAAATATGAAATTATTTTTCTGAAAAATAAAATAATAATTTAAAACTATAGAAATAATACAAAGAGATGTAGATATAAAATTTAGATTATATGAAAACATAGAGAAACTTAATAAGTCAACTTCAAATGTTTACTCAGTTTGATTTGAATGTTTTTCTTGATGTTAAATTATGTTTAAAAAAAAATATTATTGCAATAGATAGTGCAATAAGAAAACATTAAAAGATTCATTAATCATTTATATATATTACTAATTATAATTACATAAAGTAGTAATTATATAAAGTGTAAAAACAAGATCTTTAAAAAAAAATGTATATATTATTACGTAGTCAATTTTTTGATAAACACTATTAACTTTCCAATAACATGCAATCATCAGAAGCAAATAATAAAATCACTTTTTTCTACTGTTTTTTTATTAGCATATATAACAAGCATAGATGCAATGTTATTAATAATTAGTCAATCTATATGTAATATCTTATATGTAATTAGTTTTTAACTTGGTCTCTATACCAATTACAAATGGAATTACAGTTTACAAAGAGAAATTTTATGGCATTTGCTCGAAGGTGAATTGTCGAAGGTAATTTTTATTTTCCCGAAGTAGATCAAAGTTTAATATAATAGATGAACTGAGGAGAAAATTGGAAGAATAATGGTTGACATTTTGAGAAAAAATTTCTTTGTCACGTAAAGACGATGACAGAAGAGAAGAAGAGTGAAGAGATCCTTTTATTCTTTTTTTCTATGATTTATATTGTGGCTGAAATATTACACCGAAAGTTGCGTTCGACAACATGCGAAAGTGTGAGAATACGGGGAGGAATCATTGAAGAAGGGGGTTGAAAGGGAACGAGCAATCGTTCGCGAAAATACACGACCGTCAGAAGCATCCTATTGAGCTTTGTGTTCGATTATAACGTACACGAAAACGTACGAGGACAGGTGATTGTGAATCTATGTGGAAAAACAAGAAACGTGAATGATATATCTTTATATTGTTCAAAATAAATGCTTTATTTAATGAAATGAAAGTTTTTAATTTGAAAATAATTTTTTAATTTCGTTTATATTAAGAAATGAATCATTTACTATTATTTATGTTCTTTTTTCTTCATTTTTTCTTGAATTGTTAAAAAATGAAAGAGGTAAATTATCCCTTTATTTATTTATTTCTAATTTTTCGTAATATAAAAATTTAATTATTAACATTGAAACTTTAGTAAATTTTTATATTATAATGCACATATAATAAAATCTTTGTTTTATTAATTGTTACAATATTATTTATGAACATTGTTTCTTGAATTTTCTGTAATGAAAATAAATAAATTGCATTATTTTGCAGAATAACATTTACAGCAAATATTTTCCACATTATAATAAATAATTTATCTTTTATAAATTAAGATTTAACTTTTATTTCAAATATATAGTAATTTAATTACGTCAATTTATTAAGGTCGAGCATTTTATCTCTAGATAAAGACAAGATAACCAAGACTTTTATCCCAAACGTCCAATTCGATTTCATCGTATGAAAGCTCGAGGATACAAAGAAAAGAACTACGAATTATAAAAAAAAAAAAAAAAACAGATATAAAAACAAAAAAGAAAATAAAAAGAGTAAAAACAAGAAAGGTGAAAAAAACGAAGGCATCGAGGATGTCTTTTGTTCCTTATTCAAAACAAAGTAATCCGCAAAAAATAGAAAAGAGTTCTGAAAGCTATTTAAACTTACCTTCCCCCTCCAGTACCCATCCGTTGTTTCATCGTCAATGGACGCCGGTGGATTCGCTTAAAAATTAAGAAAACGTTCCACGGATAAGGATAACGGGTTGCATTCTATCCTTTCCTCCTCTTCTCCACCCCAACGTTTTTCTAGGATAGAAAAATTCCCACGAGAGGAATGTTCTTTTTGAAAACGTAAACGGGCAAGTTTTCACGATAAATCCTATCTTGATCTCATTGTTTCCTGTCTCTAGCCTGTCTAAGGGGAGATCGTCTATATTTGTTTAGACGAAATTCCGCGATACAAAGGGCGGACCTAGTGATTACGGGCGAAAAAGCGGCGCTCGGACGGGGGCCTCCGCGAATAAAACCCGCTTTTCATTTTCTATTCCCCGCATTTTTCCTAGACGCGCTATTCACCGTGGCCTCCTTTAATTCGCGCAAGCATCACGATAGAACGCTGGTAATATTTATTGCTGGGAGAGTAGAAAAGATTGCGCTGGAGGAATAGAAACGGGAAAAACAATGCTAGGGATTATAATAATGTTCCGGCGTAAGATGGCGGTGAGATGAAGATGGAAATTTGCTTAAACGGTTCATCGTCTAGTAGTGTTCTTGTTTGATACCATTTCCAGTATCGAGATTCGCTTCTGTTTAATTATCCGTGTGTTTTTCTAGCGCACTTTTTTAATTAAGCTTCGTTGATTATATAATTACGAAGTTACGCAACGAGTAAAATTGGACAATGATCGTATCATTGCAATAAAAGAATTTTTTGCATTAATATTTCGATGTATATCATGTTTTTGTATATTTTATAAATTATTCGTTTCATAGATATTGAAAATATTCAAATTATATATAATAATAACTATTGTATAATATTGTATAATTTTTGACACATCGTTAAAATATTGTCAACGGATAAAAATGACGAGAATTCATTAAAAATGTTATTTATAAAATCTGTTTATTATAATTTTATTAAATTGATTGTTTTTTAATATAAGTATTAAAATTTTTTTACTTAATAGAAACATAAATTTCATTTGTTATTAACACACATACGTTATTTCTTACAATAAGCGATAACTTTTCATAAATATTCAGACATAACAGTTTATGATAAGTCACTGTATTCGATTCTATTACCATTGTACAATGTTCGTAAACATAAATATAAAATTTATATAATACAGATTATTTCTCAGAATATTTTCGCAATATAAACTTTTCCTATTAATTAACTTATCGCTTATTTATATAACAAATTCTATGTGCCTAAACACTGCTTACAGTATACTTAAACGTATATAAACGTATACTTTTAACACAGAACCGATTGGATAACTCTATTTCACTAAGAAATATATATACAGCGATATAATCTCTCGTATATTTTGATGCCTCAATATCAAATGGGAATCACTAAATAAATATTTCATACATGACTTGCCGTATCGATGAAAAAGGCGGGAACCGTAAAGACGACCGTTCTTAAGAAAAATCGGCAGACCATTTAGGATTACCAAGTATACTCAAAAGCCACGTTGAAAGTTACATTTCATAAATACTGGTCGCGTGCGCGTATAACCGTCACAACGGGGGATAAAGAGGGAGAAAGGAAGGAAAAGAAGAAGAAGAAGAAGAAAAAAAGAAGAAAATAGGGAATAGTAGGAAACAGGGAAAACAGAAACAGTAAAATTGCAGCGAATTGTTGCGTATTCTGGTCTCCACGACCCTTTGGCAAGCAACAAAAGCCTGCTGGAAATCCCTGCCAGGAGCTCAAGCAAACAGAAGATTCATCGAATTAAACTTGAGGGGGGGAGAGGAGAGTGGCTAGTTTAACTATGCGTTTTTGAGAGATGTATTTAGACACGAGCGTGACAAGAGCAGAAAAAAAAAAAATGGCACGATTTATGATAAGAAGAATTAGGGAAAAAGGAATTAGGGAAAAAGAAACAGGCGCGAAAAGAATGAAGGAAGGAACGGAAGAAGAAAAAAGAAGGAGAGGGCGAGAGGATGAGGGAGCCGATGAGGCGGACAAGAAGAAAGAGGGCATACGTTTTTTTCTCTTTTTTTTTTTTCAGAAAACGCCGCCCCCCAGATCTTCACCCTCTCCAACCAACTCTCCCTTCTGTATCTTCTTCCTTTTCCCTCGCTCCGTTTTTTCCCAATTCCGACAGCTCTACGAGAAGAATTTCGTCGGACGGGGGGAAGAATCCGTGCGCATGTGCCGCGGGGGTGGCTGCCTCGAGGAGCGTAACAGCGAGTCGGAGACAACGAGAGGAAGTGGGAAAGAGTGGAAGCAGTGGATGCAGGCCTGTGGGAGGAATAAGGACGAGGAGGGGTGCGCGCGAGAAGGGGGGTAATACGTGTGAGAGTACCCTGAAGAGTGGCGTCGGTAGTACGGTGGTGGGAAGCGCGAGGGGCAAGAGGCGACCGTTCACGTCTTTTCGACGTCGACGCAACCCCGTTGGCGCAGAATAGCTGCTCAGTGCTCGTCGAACGGCGCTGTGTTGCGACGGGACCATGCCGCCGCGCCCTGCACCACCGATCAACCGATCTCAGGTACGCGAGACACATTATCATTCCCGAGATATCGATACATTTCATTACAGAGGCCATTCATTCCCGAACGAATGAACGTGGTTCCGGTGTTTTCGTACCTTTTCTTTTATCCCGGCTGGTGATTCGGAGAAACGTGTATATTTCAACATAGATCGCGTCTCACGAGAATGAGATAAATCCGTTTCTCGTGGGGGACTCGAGAGTTGTTGCTTCTCGTTGATAATTTGTGCAGTTTCGTGTGCTCGTTTTTGGTAAAAAAAAAAAAAAAAGAAAGGAAACGTTCAGACATCGTGATTAGGAGAGAGAGAGAGAGAAAGAGAGAGAGAGAGTGTGCGAGGAAACTTTGTCTTTCCTGTTCGTCGCTTTTCATTGTACTTTCTGTTATGATTTTGGTGCGGTTTGGTGGAAGGAGCGAAGGAGCCACGCGAGAGAGAAACAACCTCGAGTTTTTTTGGTGAAACTTGTTGTTCGTTACGTATCCTCGTGTGGATCGATCCTGGCATCGATCCTACGATCCTATACGTCCGTACGTGGCAAGAGAAGAGATTTGAAACGCGTTTACACCGTTCCCTTTTCCTTGTTCCGTGGGATTCGTTACAGGGTTACGCGCAATCATTGGCCAGCTATCGACTGATTATAAAAAAAAATAGAAGAAACGGGGAATCGAAGAGAGAAAAATTATTATCAATATAGGAAGATGCGTCTCCAATCCTCTTTTCTTTTTTTTTTTCTTCTTCCAAGAGATGCTTCCTTTTGTTTTACCCGACATTCGTAATATAACACCACCGACCTTCGAATGCATCCACTTAAAATAGTTTCGATCGAGTCTTGAAAAAAAGACCATCAACGGAACTCGGAAACGTGATGTCTTAATCCATCGAGGGAATCGAGATAGAAAGCGAGACAGGGAAAGAGAAAGTGAGAGAGAAAGAGAGGTGTTGTTTGTCTCTGGAGAGCTTTCACGGTATCTCACCGTGAAGGGGGATGGGAAAATACTTTTTGGCGGAGAATATGAAGTGAATCCTTGATCAGTTTGCGACTTTTTGCTTACTCTCGTCTCGTTTTGTGTACGCACCATGACGCCATGTAAAATAATTAAAATAGTTTTGTGCGTCCGTCGGTTTTCTCGCGTGTGCTTATGTGCGCATATATATATATATATATATGTATATATGTCGAAGATCAAAGAAACGCAAAAAGATTGTGCTACGGATTACCAGCATGTTCATAAAGGGATGCTTTTGATAAAGGCGCCGCTTAGGCGAGAGAAGGTTTACCTCATTTTCACGCCGGTGGGGACCGATATTTTTCACCCTCTCCCCGTTTAATGCTGGTCTCTCTTTGCCTAAGTGCATACCGCGTAGCCGATCTTGTTTTAAACGAAGCCTCGTTAATTAAAAAAAGAAATATATATAATAGTATACTCAGCGGTTGTGTACTATTGAAATATTTGTCTCGAGTTCTTCAAGAGAATGGCTACATTATTGGCAGGAAGTTTTGTTGTTGCCCATCCCTCCGCAATTTCTGTGAAGTAGGCAGTTTGCGTTTCAGTGGGCTCTGTTCGACGCTCTTGGTGCCTCGGCGAAAAGTTAAATTAATGGAAAATGAAGGGAACAGAATTCATTGAAAAGTTGAAGTATTTAGTCGATCGCTTAAAGATATTGGTTTTCTTCGATCGAGGGAAGTAGGAGGGTTTACCTTCCTCCGCGTAACTTTCTTACACGAATGTTCTTACTCTTGCGAACCATAAATAATAATCGCGGCTCGTCTCGAGGGAGGAAAATAATAGAATTAAGTTAATTAGGTATGCACAGTAACAATCCGTTTTCGATGAACAATCGGTTTTCTCGGAGCCGATCAATCGAAGCGCCGTAAGTTGCTCAAACTGTTCTTTAAACGCGGACCGATTTAATTCCGTGCTATTTCTCAAGAACGCGATCTATATTCCTGATGACGCATCGACGTGATGGAAAACCGTTTTCCTTCGTTCTCCTCGTTCTCTGTGAGGAAAAAAAAAAGAAAAAAAAAACGACACGCTGAAATAATAGAAAATATGGAACATCTCGGAGATAGTAATGTCATAAGGAAAATACACATGTTAGAACGAGGATATATATATATATATTAAAGTGGATTTATTGTCGTTTAAAATACACGAGACTAGTTATTGTTAACCATCTAACACGTCTCTCATCGGTACAAACTCTCTTTATTATCCAACTTTACGAGAAATTTTGTACCAACTAACCAAACTACTAAATTGTACCACGTGTGCCATTTAAATATTAGTGTTCGTATTCTATTGTTCGTCAATCGTTATTTTCCTTTCGTGATCACGAAATCAGAAGAAACGAGTACACGTTTCGAGGGAGAACGTGAGAAGCGACGACGAAAACAAAAACACGTGAGAAGAAAAGGGAGTAGAAGAAAGGAAAAGGAACATCTTGCAGTGTTTCTTTTTTCGCTTCGTTGTGCTTTGGTGATACGCACGTCTGCCACGTCTATCTCGAGCACGAGCACGGAATAGATATATCATTGTTATGGGTTGAAATATTTTTCGTTGACAGAAAATAATGCTCGTACCATTTTTGTCTCGTTAAGTGACAATTCTTGTACCTATTCTTACGTGTCATGGATTTTATACCGGGCTAAGGATTAATGGTATAGAAAGAGGAGATACTTTTCGGTTAACCAATCGCGAAGACTGTGTTCCGCGAAACAAAGTTTAGTTCTTCCAGTGGCATTGCTTAAAAAGGAGGAAAAAAAAAGTTAGTGAAAAGGAGAGAAACAATGGTTTCAATCGATAATTGAAAACTTTTCTTGGTCATCTGTGAGTTGGTTCCTCTTTTAAATTTCGCCAGAGAAATTTTACATCAATGAGAAAACTATTGTAAGAGTTAATATTTGATTGCGTCGTTTGTTTTTTCAAATTTTATTATTATTTTCGAAAATGGATAGGAAGAAGAGAGAAATGAAAACGATGGTTTCGTGTGAAATTTCTTTTCATTTGAGATCATTATCAGGAAATAGGTATATCAATAAGTAAAATATTGTAGAAAAACATTTGTGCTGTTGTTCGATTAAAAATCATGTTTTGTTTGTCGTTTATTTCTATTTTCAAAAAGAGATAGGGGAATTTTATCTTAAATCTTCGTCAGCTATATCAGCGAGAGACAATTGTGGGTATTGATGTTTGACGAACATTGTGTCGTTTTCTATCTATTCTAGAGTTTTATTACTATTTTCAAAAATAGATGGGGGAAGGAATAGATAGGGGAGAAAGAACAGGTTTCATCTGATATGAAATTTGATCATTCGTATTTTGATCATCATATGATGATAGTGAACAAAAGTGAAAAATTTTATTATTTTTTCGAACAGGATAGAAAAAGAAAAGAGAGAAGAACAGATTTTAAATTGACATGAAACTTTTCTTGCTCGTTTGTACCTGATTCTTCTTTTAAATCTCATCAGAAGATCGTCATATAGATGAAAGAAATATTAAATAAGGATTGATGTTTGGTAAAAATCATCTTGTTCATTTAAATATTCGTGCATTTAACGAGTTCAACAATAACAATTCAATAGCAGAACTGTGCATACTTTATATAAACTTGTCGAATGCAGTATTTTCTCTAGAATGTATAATAATCCATTAAATATTACAAATTTGGAAACAATTTTACATAATAATTCGTTTAATAGAAATTTATTTTGTATCAGATACAATTTATATTTGTAATTATATTACAAAGATTATAATTGAGATAATAGGAATTCAGTTAAAATTCAAATGATCATATACTTAAATGAAGTTTATATAAGTAGATTTTCATTGCATTAAATTGGCCATAAAACAAAGCATGTGATTTGCTAATATTATTTAAATTCAAAGAAGATATAAATATTATAATTTCTTGTCCTTTTGAAATAAATAAATTTTAAGTGAATAATAGTGTACACGGCTTACCAAGTTTAATCGAATACCAGATTAAAAGGAAATGTCTCATCTAAAAGTGAATGACAGAATCATTAATGTAGCAAAAAGTAGAATAAAGTGAAATGTATTTGCATATAATGTAATGTTTTTCTCTGAATAAAAAATATGAATGAAAAGATATGAATTTTGACAGCCAAAAATAAAATATTTTGTAATCATGATACATTGATATAATAATGGCAAAATAATTATTTTTTTTAACTCAGTATCAAGAAAAGTATCAAGAAATCATTATAATATAAGAAAAATATTATATAGTTCTTACACTGTATTTTAATTGAAGTATAAATATTTTTCTAAAATATCTCATATGTATTATGTGGATATCTATATGTAGGAAAAAATATTTATTTAGTAATATTTGTTTCTTTTTAAAATCATTGATTGAATTTATAAATCAGTGATGGATTGAACAGTAATAAGAACTAGAAGATTCCACGAATTTTATTCGTAAAAAACCCGAGATTTCTTTTAGATTTAACTTTAATATTTTTCATTATTACATTTTTAATTATATCGTATTATTCATATTTAAAGCAATTTTATGTAAATTATTAATTTTCGTTTAAAAAAAATTAAGATTTTGCAATGTTAGGTGATTGTTCAGCGAGTACTTCACTTTATTCTATGATTTTATTCAAGAGCGATATCTCAATACCTTTAGAAAATTGTATTTTTCTTTATAAATATCTTATTTCCTCGCTTAGTCACTTAAGATTTTTATACACGATAAATTTTATTTTCGCCTCGTATTTTTTTGTCAGCAAAAATTCAAAATTAATTTTCAATTTACCCTACTTTCATTCGTATACACAGCAAAAGTCTTGGAGAAAGAAACATACAAAAACGTATAAGCGTATAAGCCCGTATACACAACAGTTTTACAATAATTGTATAAAGGTGAAACAAGCTGAACAAAGACCGATATAAGACTACATTATCATAAAATAATTTACTTCTCCTCGCTCAAACCAAAACACCACTCTCTCGTAAATCTGAT